TCCCAAACAGAGGGGCTCAAGTGGAAAAGGAGGTCTCTTGCATTAGGACGCCGTGCATGCAGAAAATAAACGGTGGCTTCCCATCGGACCCACTAATTAGAAACACAAGACACACACTCCAAATCTGCCTGCAGATTTGAAACCTGGCTGCTTCATAAAATGGGAAATCCTTAGGTAAATAGTGGCAGGGATTTCTATTTTTAAGGATGGTGATGGACTCTTAGAAAAGAGGGAAAGACAAACTAATATCCAGTAAATATGCTGGTTGTTTTCCATAGTGTATGTAATTCAATATAATTTAGAAGAAAATGCATGCTAGTGTCGTATTTTCAAGTGAAGTAACTCCTGTGGAACAGCGCTGGCCCAGGGAACAGCACGTGGGGGCTGGCTTACGTCCTCTCCCCGTGGGAGGAAAGGGCGCAGAAACCTCCAAGTGGCTCGTTAGTTCTGGCACGTACATTTGGTTCCAGACCTTCCATTTTTTATCATTTGCACTTTGAGAATCCATCACACCTGAGAGAGAAAAGCGAATTGCTCTGTAAGTCTGAGGTTTATGCAAACCGGAAACTTTCAGCATCCATAAAATCCTCTAGTTTTACCTGTTGCATACTCCAGAAGGGAGCAGATTGTTTAGCATTTCAAATTATTCGAGACTACAGCCTGAAACGAGCTGTTACCTCAGCCTCTTGTCACCCTGGGACGTCAAAGCCTCCAGTGGATGAGGAATGCATCAATTTGGCAAACGAAGACTTTTAATTCAACAACTATTGGCCTAAATTTATTAAAACACTCCACATATTCAAAAGAAAATCACAGAGAAGGATACGTAGAGTATGCGGGGAATTTACAGATAGAAATCTCCTCAGATAATCAGAGGAGGAGTGCTTGTCCCTCATCAGCGGGGGGCGAGCGGCACTGGAGCTGAGAGGAGACACAGCTTCGCACCCGCTGCTCCGTCTGCAGCCGGAGCCGCCCGCTCTCCCAGCAGGGGACGCGCTGCCACCCAGAACATCAGAACACAAGTGCCAGGAGGTGACTCCTGCTGCCTTCCATCCATTGTCCCCTACAGATCGAAGAAGCACACTGTTAACTTTTCTTTCTTTGTGTTTGTGCTGAGTGACTGGGAGTGACAAGCAGTGACGGAAACTGTGGGCATTGACTTGCTAGGACTTCTGGAACAAAGTACCTCGGACTGGGTGTTTAAGCAACAGAAATTCATTTCTCCCAGTTCCGGAGGGCAGAAGTCCTAGAGCAAGGTGCCCTCAGGGTGGGTGTCTCCTTGTCCTGTGGACAGGAGCCCTCTGTCTGTGTCCACGAATGCTCTCCTCTGTGGGTGCATGTCTCAAATGTCGCCCTGTCAGTCAAAATCTCCTCTTTTTATAAGGACATCAGTCGCATTGGCTTAGGACCCACCCCAAGGCCTCATTGTAACTCAATCACCTCTTTAAAGATCTATTTCCAAATACAGTCACGTTATAAGGTACCAGGGTTAAGGCTTCAACATATGTATCTTTGGGGGGACACAATTCAGCTCCATGACACTGTGATTCCATGTTCAATGTCTTAAGAGGAAAACAAGTTAGTTAAGTTAGTTCTTTTTTTCTTTATTGAAGAATGATTGACAAATAAACATAGTATATGTTTAACACATACAACGTTACGTTTTGAGACAAACGCATTGTGAAATGATGCCCCCAGTCAAGCTGATTCACCCATCCTTCACCTCACACATCTGCCTTTGGTGTGTGTGTGAGAACATTTAAGATCTACTCTCTTAGCAGATTTCAAGCACACAGCACTGTATCATTAACTAGAGTCGCCATGCTGTGGGTTTTCCCCAGAACCTCCTCATCTTACAACTGAAAGCTTGTCCCCTTATTCTTCAGTTAGCTCTGATGAGAACTAAGCCTCCTATTTATGCAGGCAACACAGAAACGGTGATGTCCCAGAGGCCACCTCTCAGCCCAGCACGTCACCTCTTACATTCCTTCCAGACACCCAGCCATTCTGTGTACCAGAGGAAATGAACTTCAGGCAGACAGATGCGTGGTGTGTGTGTGCACAGGTGCAGACACTCACACACAAACACACCTGTAATGTTCACCTGGCACCTTTGCTGAAATGCAGACTCAGCATCTGCCCATGATTCTGTCCGTCTGCAGAACCCCCAAAATACTCTGATGCAAAAACCCCAGCAGAGCACCTCGGTGCTTTGGGAAAAGTAAAAGCAGGACACCACTTGGCTCAGTTAATCATTTGATTGCTTTGCTAAACTGACAAGGTTCTTGCTGAATTAACTGAGGTTCAATGTGGGGATGCGGAGGAACCTCCACACCGTTTCCCACGGCGGCTGCACCTGCCTACACTCCCATCAGCCGTGCACAGTGCTCCCTTCTCTCCACATCCTCGCCACCACTCGTTGTCTCTGGTCTTTTGGTAACAGGCGTTCTAGCAGGGGTGAGGTGCCGTCTCCTTCTGGTCTTGCTTTGCATTTCCCTGATGATCGTGATGCTGACACCTGTTCCTGTCCCTGTTGGCCAACGCCCGCACTTTCACATCCACTGCAGCAACCACCACAATATTCATGAAAACCAAATGTGGAAACAACCTAAGTGCTTGTTGACAAATGGATGGATACAGAAAATGTGGTGTATATATACAACGGAATATTACTCAGCTACAAAGAAGGAAATCCTGCCGTTGCTGACAACACGGGCGCAACTAGAGAACATCGTGCTTTCCAGAGGAAAATAAATATTACACGATCTCACTTACATGTGGAATCTAAAAAATATCCCCACAAGCTCCAGAGGAGAATCAATTAAGCTAATTATAAAATTCCTTAGCATGAAATAATAATAACAATAGTAAATATAATGATTATCATCAACCAAGCAATTTGGGGGAGAAAAAAACTTTTCTTCCATCCTCTTAAGTTCAGTAACCGGCAGCCTGTGAATTAAACTGGCAACAGACAGATCAACAGAAGAAAAGGCATATAAATTTACTAACTTTTAGTTTCACATGCACGAGGGCAGCACAGAAAGAAAGTGACATCCAAAGGAGTGGTGAGATATTACAGCTTATCTACCATCTTAGCAGGAGGAAGGGAGGGACAGAGGCCACTTACGAGAGTGCAAGTGATTTTTAGCAAAGATAAATGGGCCCTTAGGAGAACAGAAGGGAGATAGGATAGCAGGTGACAATGTCTGTCTGGGTGTGGTGCTGACTTCTCCTCTCCTCTCCTGTGATGGGTCCCTTGTGGATGAAACTCCCAGGGAGGGGATTTATGATAAATTAGGGGTGTTTTTTTTAATGCTTTTTTTTTTTGGTGAGGAAGATTGGCCCTGAGCTAACATCTGTTGCCAATCTTCCTCTTTTTCTTTTTTTCTCCCTAAAGCCCCAGTACACAGTTGTATGTCCTACTTGTAGGTCATTCTAGCTCTTTTATGTGGGATGCCCCCACAGCATGGCTTGAAGAGCAGTGTGTAGGTCTACGCCCAGGGTCCAAACCAGCAAACCCTGGGCTGCCTAAGTGGAATGTGTGAACCTAACCACACAGCCACGGGGCCAGACCCCAACAGTCGAGTTCTTTTGGTTAGCCATCAGTAGTGGGATTAAAGTCTTGCCCTTTTCCAGTCCGTTCATGCTTGTGTGGGCTGAGGGGGCGTCAAAGAGGCTGAGAAAACCGGAACTGTGGTGATGCCACATCTCCATTGTTGAGCGTCTGGGGCCCAGTGGGGACCCACTTAGTTAGGCGTTTGGGGATGGATGAGTTCATTTGTGAGAAGTCAGAAAAGAGAAAGAACGGTTTATTGCGGTGGTTCTCCAATTTAGCAACAGGAGGACGCCACCCCAGAGTCTCTGATGCAGCAGGTGTGAGCGGGGACCTGAGAATCTGCATTCCTAACAGTCCTCAGGTGGCGCGGATGCCATTGCTCTGGGACCCCCGGCCTAGTGCCTTGCTGCTCAAGGGACCAGCGGGAGCGACAGCACCTGGAAGCTTGTTAGAAAGCGGAGGGCTGAGCCCAGTCTGACGAAATCGGGCTGTGCATTTAGTGGGTCCGCGGAGGGTGGGTACCGACGCGAAAGGTTAGGAAGCGGGGCTTTGGGGCACAGCCCTCAGCCGTGAATTCGGTGAACCACAAACCCAGCAAGGGGCGAGCGCTCCTCTGCCTCAAACACATCTCCTCGGGCTTAAGACGGAAACAAAACAGTCACACAAGATTGAGAACTGATCGTAAGGCGCTCGAGACCCCGAGCTCCGCGGACGGCTGGCAGTAACTTAAGCTCCTCAGCCTTGGGATCCTCACTGGGGGGAAAGGAGCTGGAGGCAGGAGCCTGCGGGGTCTGAACTCAGCGAGCGCCTTCCCCCTCGGAGGGAGGAGGAGGAGGAGGAGCAGCGCCGCCCGCGGGCCGGGCCGTCGCAGGAGACCGGGGACCACCCTGCGCCCCGCCCCGCTCCGGAGCGCCCGCCGTCCCTGCCCGAGGCAGCCCCGCGGGAGGAGGTGGGAAGGTCGGGCAGCCGGGTCTGCGGGCCTCCCTGCCCTGCCCTTTCCTTCCCTGCCTCCCCCTCCCCCCCCCTCCCTCCCTCCTCCCCCCCCCCGCCTCCCCTCCTCCTCCCCCTCCCCTCCCTCCCCTCCCCTCCCCCCCTCCCCTCCCCTCCTCCCTCCCCTCCCCTCCCCCTCCCTCCCTCCCCTCCCCCTCCCTCCCCTCCCCCCCCTCCCCCCTCCCCCTCCCTCCCCCTCCCCTCCCCTCCCGCCCCCTCCCCCTCCCCTCCCTCCCCCTCCTCCCTCCCTCCCCTGACCCCTCCCTCCCCTCCCCCTCCCCCCCTCCCCTCCCCTCCCCTCCCCCCCCTCCCCTCCCTCCCCTCCCCCCTCCCCTCCCCCCCCCTACCCCTCCCCCCGCCCCCTCCTCCCCTCCCCTCTCCCCCTCCCCTCCCCGTGTGGCGTCTGAACAGCTGCGCCCTCCGCCCCTGCGCTGACGCCGCTGTCCCTCTGTCGTCCTGCGCCGCTGCTCCTTCTTTCCCGTCTTGTTTCTGAGGCCTCGGACCTGCGAGGAAGCACATTTACATTTGACGTCGGTTTTACAACCAGAGGAACAAATAATCATTTCATTTCCAACCTTGCGTTTTCTTTTTCTCACAATAGGCTTCCTCTTTGCGTGTTTGGAAGAGGACAAAATATTGGGAGTCTTGAAATCCCAGGCTTCCGGGGAATGGGAGAAGCCCTGCCGTCTGGTCCTGCAATCCGGGGATTTCCTTGGAAGCCAAGTGGACCTGAGAGTTCGATTTACTCTCTCACGTTGCAGCCTGATTTTTCCCCGCAGTATGCACGCACACGCATGCACACGCACATACACACATGTGCACACGCATGCACACGCAGGCGCACACACACGGCTTTCTTCCCCTCCCACTCAGAAGGGTTCCTGCCGTCTGTACCGCGCCCGGCCCCTCGCAGCTCGTGGTTGGCGACACACAGGCCAGCGGTCAGATGCAACTCAGATGCAGCGTCCTGCCTCCTTCCTGCCCCTCGTTGCTCTGGTCAGGACTGCCCGGCGTGGGGGAAACTCAGGAGCGGAGAAACCGAGTCACAGAGAGAGGATGGGAAATTGTCTCCCGAGAGAACTCAGGTGCGTCCTGGTGCTGGGCACTGCCCTTCTTGGGAGAAAGGGGACAGGGAGCAGGGGCTGGGCGTGTGCGTTTGTGTTGGGGGGTCGGGAGGGTGACGATTGTGAATTAGGAAGGTTGAACCTGCTGACCGCATCCTCTAAGGACTCACGGCGACCCCTACGTCACGCCTTCTCTTGCCTTACTTTGGAACCATGTTAGGTTGCCAGATTTAGAAAATAGACAGAATGCCAAATCAGATTTGAATTTCAGATAAACAAATGCTTTTTTTTGAGTACAAGTTTGCCCCATGCAATATTTAGTGCATTATACAAAAAAAATTCGTCATTTATCTGAAATTCAAATGTAACCGTGCATCCTGGATTTTATCCACAACCATCATGTGTGGCCACTGGAGTCTGTCTGAGTCTCCCTTCCCTCCTCTGGGTACAGGGCTGACCTCTCCATCCATCAGCTTCATGGGGTTGGTGTGAGAATAAGCAGGTCCTTGACAATCATGCATGTAAAATAATGTACTCAAGTGTTTTTGATTTAAGCGGTGCCTTTTCTCGGTGATTTTTATCCTTATCCTCTTCAAGTGTTTTTGAAGTTGTAGGACAGATATAAACAACAGGCATTTTCATCTCACATCTTGCTTAATCTTAAAGGATTGTCTCTATAGCCCCCCACTCCCCCATCTGCCCTCCCCAACTGCTTCCAGACGGCCTATTATATCATATTATATTATCTTATATTATATTATATATTATATTACTAGATTTTTAAAGTTGAGACATAGTTGACACGTAGCATTGTGTGAGTTTAAGGTGTACAAGGTGTTGACTTGACACATTGATACGTTGCAAGGTGATTACCACTGTGGCATTAGCTACGTCCTGCATCACATTACATGATCATCATTTCTTTTCTGCGGTGGGAAAAATTAAGATCTAGCTTTTAGCAACTTTGGAGTTTATACTACAGTATTGTTGACTGTAAACACTATGCTGTGCATTCGCTCTCCAGGACTTATTTATCTACTAGGTGCAAGTGTGTAACCTTAAACAAATCTGTCCTGTACCCACACCTCCTGGTAACCAGCATTTACTCTCTGTTTGGCTTTTTCAGACTCCACATATAAGTGAGATTATACAGGACTTGTCTTTCTCTGTCTGACTTATCTCACTCAGCATAATGAGTTCAAGGTCCATCCATGCTGTTGCAAATGGCAGGATGCCCTTCTTTCTCATGGCTGAATAATACTCCATGGTGTGTATGTATGTGTCTATATACAATATCTATTGTTTCCATATCTTGGCTGTTGTGAATAATGCTGCAATGAACATGGGAGTGCAGGCATCTCTGTGAGATCCTGATTTTGATTCTTTGGAATAAATACCCAGAAGTGGGATTTCTGGGTCAGATGATTGCTCTGTTTTTAATTTTTTGAGGAACTCTCATCCTCTTTTCCATAGTGCCTGCGCCTTATGCATTCCTACCAACAGTGCGCAAAGTTCCAATTTCTCCACACCCTCCTCAACATTTCTTATCATTTATTATTTTGGTAACAGCCATCCTAAAAGGTGTTAGATAATATTTCACTGTGATTTTGACTTCATTTCCCTGATGATTAGTGATGCTGAGCATCTTTTCATGTACCTGCTGGGCATTTGTATGTCTTCTTTGGAGATGGAGAGAAAATGACACCATTGTACCCAAAGAGTTGAATTTAAACATGTGCCCTGATGAGAAATGTTTTCATCTCCTTAAGGTTAATTAATATTAATGGAAAGTCTATATGAAACAGCACTCTTGGCCTCAAGAACAAAATTAAACAGAGAAGAGACTGCAGAGGACGCTGACTTTAGAAATGCACAAGGCTTTTCAAGAAACACTAGTGTGTAGCTTTAAAAAAAATTAGATGTATTGCTGAGGAAGGATAAGAGCTTGTCAAGCTCACTTTTGCTATCAAGTGATGAAACCACAGTGTAATTTCTTTCTTTTTTTAGGCTGTGCAATGTGATGATTTAATGTATGTAAACATTGTGAAATGAGGATCAGGGTATACTTTCCGATGTCAAGTCATCGCCACTCCCGCACAATCTCCTCTTCTTCAGATAGGGCAAACGTTTATGTGCTCTGGGAGGAAGCACAAACAATGTGCTGTAGAAACAAGAGGAAGGAGGGGATGGAATTCTGATTTGCAACGGCTGGAAGGAAGGGCATTCTGAGGGGCTGCTGTTTGGATGGCGCTGCACACGTTAGGCAGGCTTACCAAGGTCTGAAAAGACTTCCACACTGAAGGGACGACATGTGAACTGTAAGAGTTTGAAGCGAGCGGTGGCTCAGGAATGACTCTTAGTTGTCAGTAACTGGGGCATATTGTTCAAGGACAGAGCCAATGGGAGACGTTGAGAATGCGGTTTGGCACTGATGATGGGGACTCTTCAAAGGCAGAGAGGAAGTGGTACAGCGTGGACATTGATGAGCTGGAGAAAGAAGTAGGTGGCTTATGTGTTAGGGAGAAATGTCCGTCCTCGGTGGGTAAGGAGGAATGACAGGGAAAAATGGACAAAAAGTTAAGAAACTCTTAAAATTTACCTAAAAGGGGTGGTGCAGAGCTAAAATTCAGCACGAAAAAAACCAAAGTGAAAAAGAGGTTTAGTGAAAGTAAAGGCATTTCCAGTGGTTCCTCTTGGTGTTTGTCAGTCATTTAGATCACAGATGTGGTGTGAGAGAAGGCTAAAATCATTCCCCCAGATGAGAGAAAGCTAAAATCATTCCCCGAGATGAAGTTTCAGTTTACTCCTGGCCTCTCCTGGGGACCTGCCCATCATTAGAGAATCTGGGAATATGCCCGACATGTCTGGAGACGGAGGAGACACAGAAGCTGGGAGAGAAGCGATGGACCTTAGGCAGGTAGTCCTGGGAATTCCTGACTTCCTCCTGCAGCTGTCAAACAAATCCCCATCAAATCTACCAGCTGGAGGAAACAGAAATGATAAGAAACAGAAACTCAACCCAACCGTGAGTCACTTTCCTTTCTCTGTAATAACAGGTTTCGCTCTCTCCAGACCCATCCATTACCCCATGACTCTGTGGGCTCATTCATCCCACAGAAGAGCCACGAGACTTGGACTAGAGGCTTTCCAGGTTTTATCCTTAGTCACGCAGGTCCACTGGTGTTGACGGGAAAGGGAAACAACATTTGTCAAGCACCTGAAGGGTGCCTAGCACGTTGCACAGTTGGGCTTAATCCTCACAGTGACGCTATGAAGGAGGCATTCTTATCCTCAGTTTCATGAGTTTCGGAATTTAGGTTACAAGGGCTTCAGTCTCACAGTAGAAGAGGTGATTTAGGTCACTAGTCATGAACCAGCGAGACTCCGAATCCCACAGGCCTCCTCTGCTCATGCAAGAGAGGCCTTTCCTAGGGTTCCTTCCACGGGGAGGATGAGCCGTACTATGCCCAGGGTCTGTTGGAACACGGAGGGACAAAGCCTGCTGGTGTTTCTCAGAGGGGATGAGGAGACGCGGTGCAGCCTTCTGCCTCTTGCTCACCTCACCTATAGGTTCAACATTAAATGGACAGCAGGGAACGCTTCCTTCTTCTGGAAGCTCAGCTGGCACACACATGACACCTAGCATACGTGAATTCTCTCCATGTATCCATCAGCTTATCCATCTGCAGTGTGTGCACACGCTCACCATACAAATAAGCCCGAATCAACTAAAAATAATGGGACAATTTCTTAATACTGGCACAGAAACTTCTAAATTTATATTTCTTAAACATCTCAAATATCTTGTCATCTCTATATGACGCAGGCTTTCAAAACTGATCCTTTAAAGGAAGATTCAATAATAGAAAATTTATATTGCCCCCGGTGGAATTCGACTCAGCCCAAATTCCCACAGGCAACATGGATTTAGAACTTCTTTTTCGGAGAAACCTTCATAATTGAACCTCCATAATTGTCCGTAGGGAAGCCATCCAGTCCTGCTCTGGGGCAAAGTAACCAAAGTAAAAGCCTGGATGTTCCCCAGAGGATAAAGTTCTCGTGTGCCTCTGTCTTCAGAAAGAAAGAGAGATCTTAAACCAAATAAAGAAAAGGAAAATGGGCCTGAAGAAGAAGTTCACTCACCATCTTGTCGCTCTGCCATCACTTTGAAGATTGTGCTCAGGGCCACATGCTGGGGCAGGACCAGGGACAAGAGCGTCGGAGGGGTTGTCCCGGAGTCAGGCGGGTGAACGGAGTCAGATGGCGTGTAGACCATCAGGTAGCCTCCTCCACTTTATGACCTAATGATGAGGCCAGAGGGGGCCTTGAGGACCGTCAGGGACGCTTTCTGCCTTACAAGACACGGAAAGAAAGGATGGGTTAGAAGTTTTCAAAATAAGCTACTTTTTTGTGTCCGTTGAAAAACATTTTGCATTGCTATTTTGATCCAATTTCTAATAAAGTTGTGAGTGTTTTAAAAGTGGAGAGAGGAACAAGAAAATCACCATTAAGAGGGGACTTGAGGGATGGTGCAGAGTGCACAGCCAGCAGGGGAGGGTCTGAGCTGGACCGCTGTGTTGAGAGTCCTGCACCTATTTTTAAATTTCAGACCTTTGAATTACTCATACTCGCCAGTTGGTTTGTTTATTGAGATATAATTGACATCTAACATTGTATAAGTTTAAAGTGTACAACATAATGATTTGAAATGTGTATCTATTGTGAAATGGTCACCACAATAAGTCTAGCTAACATCCATCACCTCACATAGTTACGATTTTTTTTCCTTGTGAAAACATTTAAGATCTACTTTCTTAGCAACTTTCAAATATGCAACACAGTATTGATAACGACAGTCGGCGTGCTGTGCATCACACCCCCAGGACTTATTTAGCTTATAACTGAATGTTCATACTTTGACCACTTTCGTCCATTTCTCTTCCCCCCGCCCACCCCTAGAAACCACAGTCTGACCTCTGGTTCTACAATTTTGTTTCTTTAGACTCCACCTATGAGAGAGA